AGTTTCTGACGCGAATTCAACTCAACTGTCATTCTATCAACTGTGACAGACCAAACTATTATGTCAGCAAATATGCTGAGGATATTAAAATCTGAAGGAGCTTGGCATGAACAAGAACCAGCTAGATTCTCCTCAAACGAGATGGAATCTAAAGGGATGGAGCTATCCTGCTGCCCTTCAGAAACGAGGCAGCAGAGGACACCCTGAAGCCTCAAGAGTGATGGACACTGTCACACATGCTCCTAGAGGTACCTGGGCCAGCACATCCCAGGGTAAGCGTCAGTACTACGGAGATGAAACATTCCTGGCCATGACTCAACACAACATTTGCAATCTCATGGTTTGAACAGCATCCAGGTTGCTACTTGGCTCATACTAATTTCACCAATTAGTGCCCAAGAGCTTGCTAACTCATCCTCCTAAAATCGTTCTTAGACAAAACAATCTTAGAGGGCAGAAGCGTCATAGGTTCATGCCAGTAACAGCAATACTCCCTATAGCCTCAGATGGCTCCTGCTGCTTGGTGTGAAGAATCAATTTACAGTTACCACTCAATAACAGTACAAGAAATGCATGTCTTCATTAGTGATTAAAATCCTTTTCCTCCCACCACTTCACAACACAAAGCTCTCAAGCTGCTCACAGCAACAAGACTGTAACCCCTCTTACACATTCAAACAATAAGGACAGAAAAAAGAAGCTACCAAAGACAGATGGTTATGGATGATTGCTTGCCTATGTTTAACTTAAGAGACAGCCTTTTACTCACCTGCTTTCATATCCCATTTTTTTACTTTTGTGAAAACCCCTTTTCCCTAGGATAAGTACTAACTCCCTCACCTGCAGCAGAGTTCATTAGCTAACCTGACTTGAACTTCAAAACCCAAGTATTCAAAGAATTCCTCTCCAAACTTGGGAGTGCTTCCTACCAAATCAAATGAACTTTTCGGCCTTTTAACCGGACTTCAAATGTTCAAAATACAGGTTACAACCTGTTCAGGTTCAAAGGCAGTTTGATGCAGCCAGTGCTACACTGCTACCAGTACCCAAATTAACAATGTCAAAGCCAACACCAGCACAGAAAGCTCCCATGGCACCTCCAATGAAAGGGGGACATAATCCAACGCAGAAATCTATGGTTTTCACTGCTAATTTAGTGAGAGTGGAAAAAAGTTTCAACAGCCTTCTGCCACAAAGAGAGTCTAAGACCATGGCATTAAGAGCAGCATGAGATGCGAGACACCGAATGTACGTTTCCCCAACACGCTGTAACATACTCGTGTCTACAAACTCTAGCAGTGATCATAATGTCTGTCCTTCCATTATCCTTTGAATGTTGCATGATTTTAGCTAGATTTCATTTTAAAGACCAGCAGAACGATAATCAAGTGTTCTCATGCTGTCTTGAGATGACATCTTGATTAGCTGCATGAAGAATACAAGACTGATGAGCTGCCAAAATGCTGTTGCAACTGGGCAGGTGAAGACAACATGATTTCTACAGGTGCAAATTTCAACAGCTTTCAGAGTGTAGAATAATTTGGCATGCCCTGAACAACTCTAGCTGTGTGCAATCTTTCACTCTTTACTGTCCATTATGCCAGCACTTAAAACCAAGAGTGACCCATACAGGCAAATCTGTGATTTGTTTCTTTGGGGTTTTTCACTCACCCCATTTTGATTTAATTTTTTTTAATAACCTATCAAATTCTTTCACAAATTTAAACCCAAGGCAACAGATAAAATTGTGCTTGCCCTCTTAGAAATTAGTCACAGAAAAGGGAGTGCTAAGAAGTGAGACAAGGTTGGTAAAGGCTTCTCCAAGTATTACCTCAAGGAAATAAACTGAACCAGCTTTCTGCCAGGGCTACTTTGCACCGGAAGCAAGCCTGCACACCCAAAAGCCTTCTGAAGCCCCTTTCCACTACAAGATGGGGGCTACAACCACTCCCTCACAACTTAATAAGCCAAATAAGAGCATTGCAGAGTACTTAATTCATACCCAAGTCATTCTAACCAGTTACCATCACCCTTGAAGAAAGGTGCTGTGACAGATGACATTCGTTTCATGCCATGCTCCACAGCTTTAGGCATCCTACCTGTTGTCTGGACAAGAAACACCCTCCCCACCTCTAGCTGCCACTCTCTCTGCGTACCATGTGCGCCCTGACATACAGCTGCATTCTGCTGGCACTGTCCTCCTGCTCCTCAAAATACAGCACCTACAGCTACTTAACAATGCAGCCAGAGAAGAAGGGAAAAAGTTTTCTGTAACAGCTTGTGGGTCAGAACAGCGGTTCCCAAACAGGAACGCTTGGAGCAGGGCACACATCAGGCTAATAAATTCTTTCAGGGTTATTAGCTGAACCTCACACAGAAGAGAACACAGTCACAGAGAGCTCATCCTCACTTTTCAAGATCAAGGGGCCCTAAGAAATCTGGAGAGGGACCTTTTACAGGGTCATGTAGGGACAGGACAAGGGGGAATGGCTTTAAACTGACAGAGGGAAGATTTAGATTACATATTAGGGAAGTGTTCAAGGCCAGGCTGGACAGGTCTTGGAGCAACCTGACCTAGCGGTAGGTGTCCCTGTTTGTGGCAGAGTGTTGGAACTGGATGAGCTTTAAGGTCCCTTCCAATCCAAACCAGTTTGGGATTCTAATGATTGTATGGTCTCTACTCTTAGAGCCACTGCTGTCACTCCCTGCTGCAGCACCAGCCCTTCTCATCACACTCCCTCAGAACTGATGGAGAAAGTCATAAAGCAAACGGACAGCTCTGGGATGGAGTCCTTCATAGTCTCTGCCTGTGGCATTCAAATAAGCAGCTCCTACCTTTTTGATGAGCATTCCAGCACGTTACGAAGCTGCAGCACAAACCCTCTCTACTGTTCAGACCTCATCACTGCTGTAGTCTACTGAGGATTCAACAGAAGGAAATAGCTTCATCTTTTGAAGCTGGCACCAATATGTTTATATGTTACCATGAACAGGCATCAGAAAACATGTTCCCCATCTGAGAGATAATGTCTAAAGACAAGCCTAAAGATTGGTCTCCTGATGGGGAAAAAAAATAATTAAAAGGTTTTGACAGTATACACTGAACAAGTACAAACAGAAATTTGCTAAAGGACTGTCCAAACCCCAGTCCAAAACAGCAGATGCTGTCCTTCCTCCAGCCATTTCTCATTCTATTTCAGTCTCCTCAGCAGCTTGTAAGCTTGTTTAGGTCAACATTACAGATCATCTCTTCTCCTCTTCTCCTTTCCTAGATTTCACACTGGATGTCAAAAGGTTTCCTCTTGGATTTAGGGTTGATATTTTAGTGTGTAGCTGCTTCACATTATGAGACACAAGACACAAGTGCAATGTGATGTCCCTGAAAAACAGAATGGGTTTTCCCCTGCAAACACCACCCCTGTCCTCTACCACACCTTAGGTGAGCCCAAAGCCAAAAGGTGAAAACCAGACTACTGAGATGTAGGTAGAAAAAATATATATTAAAAAAAAAAAAAATATCATGCCAGACTGGTTTGAGTTGGAAGGGACCTTAAAGTTCATCCAGTTCTAATCCCCTGCCACAGGCAGGGACACTTTCCACTAGACCAGGTTGTTAAGCTGTTCAGTTGAAAAGTACCTGGGGATGGTGATTTAACAGAGCTGAATATGAGCTTGTGTCCAGGCAGCCAAGAAGGCAAACAGTATCCCAGCCTGCATCAGCACCAGTGTGGCAGCAGGGCCAGGGCAGTGATTGTCCCCTTGTACTTGGCAGAGGTGAGGTCACACCTTGAATCCTGTGTTCAGTTTTGGGCCCCTAACTACAAGAGAAATATTGAGCTGGTCCAGAGAAGGGCAACAGAGCTGACGAAGGGTCTGGAGAACAAGCTTGATGAGGTACAGCTGAGGGACCTCAGGGGATTTAGTCTGGAGAAGAGATGGCTCAGGATGGGACCTCATCACTATATAAAAAACTACCTAAAAGAAGGATGTACTGAGGTGGGGTTGGTCTCTTCTCCCCACAAGTAACAACAACGCAAGAGGAAACGGCCTCAAGCTGTGCCAGGGGAGGTTTAGGTTAGAGATTAGGAACAATTTCTTCACCAAGAGGGTGGTCAGGCATTGGAACAGGCTGCCCAGGGAATGGTGGAGTCACCATCCCTTAAGTGTTCACAAGCCACGTAGATGAGGCCCTTAGTGACATGGTGCCTTGGCAGTGCTGTGGTAATGGTTGGACTTGATGATCTTAAAGATCTTTTCCAAAGTGACTGATTCTACAATTCTGTAAAGCCCTCAGTTCCTCATAAATCCTATAACTGTGGCATTTTTGACGCCAGAAAAGCACTGGCACTGCGAACAAGAAGCCCTGCCATCTCAGACACACTACAGGGCAGTATCACACCGATCAAGGGGAGAAGAGAAAAACCTGTTTCCTCGCCATAGCCCCACCATGCCGGGACGCTTTGCTCGCAGCTCCCTGGCACCGCCAGCCCCAACCAAAACCCTCCAGTTCGCAGAGGGAGGACAAGGGGAAGCCGGCCCCGCCGTGACCCGCACTCACCTTCTCGCAGAGACTGCGGACCTGGCTCTCGCTCAGCTGCCGGCACTCGTTCAGCTGCTCGATCCATTGGTCCAGCTCCTTGGCGAACCCCTTCTCCTCCATGGCTGCGGGACGGGGAACCGGGCAGAGCAGGGCACGACAGGGGCCAGCCACGCTGGTCACCCCGCAAAGGCCCGGGCCCGCCTTAACGGCGGCGGCGCAACAACCGGAACGCGCGGCCTGCTGCGCTCCGCGTAATGGCGGGTCCCCCCCTTCGCTTCCCGGTCTGCGCACTTCCGGCCACACCCACCTCACGTAACGCACATCCGGCGCCCCCCCGGTAGAGTTGCCGCTTGTGCCGAGGGTCGCCGCCCCCTGTGAGGTGGGAGCCATGTGGTGTGTGTTGGGGTGCGCGAGGGCTCATAGGGTCACAGACTGGTTTGGGTTGGAAGGGATGTTAAAACTCACCCAGTTCCAAGCCCCTGCCACAGGCAGGGACACCTTCCACTACAGCAGGTTGCTTCAAGCCCCGTCCAACCTGGCCTTGAACACTGCCGGGGATGGGGCAGCCACAGCTTCTCTGGGCAACCTGTGCCAGGGCCTCACTACCTTCACAGGGAAGAATTTCTGCGTAATGTCTGATCCGGGATCAAGCCTTCCACCCTTGGCTTCCCGATTTAAATTCAGGTTTTTACCTCCGGGCTTGCAGCCGGCCCTAATGATTGCCACAGCATGGCTGGGCTAAGGGAGAGCTTGTTGCAAGGTGTGCATTAACATTAACATTAATGTAACACATAGTAATGTAGCATAACGTTCCCTTATGTGACATAAGGGAAACGGCTACCCGCTGTAAAAATAATTCCCTGGTTTGTCCAAAATGACTCCCAAAAGGGCATCCTAGGTCTCAGGAGGTTATGATAAAGCATTAAAATAAATATTGACAGTCTTCTATTTACGCCTTTCAAATTTGTAAGGTTTCTTCATTATTTAATAGGAGGAAGCGCTGTAACATACTAACATACTTGCTTACAGTCTGGTGCTCGATGCACCTTACGGTGAGCCCAAAAGCGTGACTGATCTGCGAGCGTGTCGTACCTGCTGCAGGATACACAGCTCTTGGTTTGATCTTCCGTACGTTTTGACTTGCTTTGCTGTCTCCTCAGTAGCAGCATGTAACAGCATTCTATAGTGTCAATGATATAATAACCAATTATTAGAACTATGAGGTTTGGAGCGGTGGGTATGCTTGAGTTAGGGGTGCCTGGCCCAGGCAGCAAGGACTGGGATTTTAGGAGATCACCGGTGGTTAACATTCCTGGGATTTTTAGCAGAGCAAGATAAGTGAAGCCACTGCAGTAGGGTTTTTTTTCATGCCGGATGGAAAACCTGAGAATGGCTGAGGAACTACTCAGGTGGGGGGGATATTCTACTATCAGGAACACTAAAGCTAGACTTGTGGACTTTACCCTGAGGTGAAGGAAAAAATGAAAGGGTTCAAAACGTAACAGATCTGAAACAAACTTTCCAACTAAAATACATCCAGCAAATAAAAAGAAAGCAATATATATATAAAAAAAAATTGTGGCTACTCTTTAAAGATTCCCCATCATTTCCTGTTTCTTTACCTAGACAAGACACTAGCCAGGAACCGTTCACATAAGCCTGGAAGTTTTATTTGCTCATTTGTTTCCAGCAGATTATTTTTAACTGAATTGCCCGTGCTTGTGGTACTGCAGCAGAGAACGTAACAGCCCTGGGATGAGGCAAAACCTCCAGCATGGCAGCAGACAATAAATCTTTCCAGCTGAGAGCTTCCCCAGGACAGCACATGCTGTGTGCTGAGCATAAGGGAAGTGGACACCCACTGTAAAAATAATCCCCCTGGCTTGCCCAAAATGACCCCAGAAAGTGCATCCTGGGTCTCAGGAGGTTATGATGCAGCATTAAAATAAATGCTGAGAGGCTTTGATTTATGTCTTTCAGAATTGTAAGGTTTCTTCATTATTTAATAAGAGGAAACAAAATCAGAAGGGGAGCTGTATGTTAAGATGGAAACCTCACATTACTCCTGCTGGAAGAAATACCCTGTAACTTGAGGCTTGCAGCAAAATCCAGTAACAGCATTAACTAGCTGTTAGCAAGATAGTTAAGCAAATTAGTTATGTACTTGCTAACTAGTACATAAGTAGCAATGGGGGATTTTTCTTCCAGCTCCTCAGCATTTGGTGAACGGGGAGTGAGAAGACCAAGTGCCCTTCCCTGGCAAAGACAAACTCCATGTGCTCAATGGTCTTCGTTGTTCATTATATGAGCCATTTTCCCCAAATCTTTCTGGGTGGATGACTTCAAATATCCAAGCAATCCCACAAATTGGTTGTGGCCTAGCTGGCTACTGGAGATAACAAACGCAACTGTTCTTCCCAAGGTCTTGAATGATCTTTCAGTAATGAGAAAAAGAATTTCCTTTTGGCAGTGAAGTAACGCATGGTGAAGTGATAAATCAAACCACAATAAGCTCTTAAATCTTTCTGTTCCTAGTTTTTTTTTTCCTGTGGAATTCTTCCGGCAGCAAAATGTTTCACACATCACGACTACCTCAACATGGGTCTCAACAGTTTCAGTGGCAGTACACAGGCTGCCTTTCTTCACTGTACCCAGTGTGTTCTCAACAGCTTACACCTTCCTCCTCCTGTAAAACCTGAAAATACTTTTGCGGGGTCTCAAAAATTTCCCCTACATCTCCCCGTTAGCGTCTGCAGCATCCTGAGATCCACAGGGTCGTCTTCTTCCAGCATTCCTCCTAGGCAGCAAGAATGGGGATGTGAAGCTGTGATTTTTTGGGGGGTGACTTTCATAGCTCAGCACAGGGGCTTGGTGTTTCTTATCCATCCTGTCAGAGGGTTTTCCAGTGTTAAGCTGATAGACCTCACTGGGTTTGGGCAGGAACTCCTGGTCGAGTTCAAAGAGGATCCAGCTCTTTTACTCTTCAGTAGCCTTTTCTAAAGGCATCCTTCTATCCCAACAGACTGTGGATGCACAAGTCGTGGTGAAGGCGGCCTCTACAGAGAACATCTCTGTTAGGAGCTGGGGCTGATTTTCCACCACCTTCTCTAAAATACAATTTCTGCACTAAAACCTGCTGAAATGTGAAAGTGGCTTAAAAGTCCACAAAATAATAGATAAATGCTGTCTCTGTAACACTAAACCAGTCATAGGGCAGCCTTCCTTTCTTATTTTTGTCATTTTTTAACTGAAAGAATTATTTACTGCCACTGCTGCTTATGGAAGGCATTGTCTGGACTTAACCCTTCACTTCCTAAAAAGCAGTGTTTTACTGATGGCACACCTGTGTTTTAGGTAGGAAAAAAACCCACTGAGTGAAAAAATGGATAAAGCCATAAAGTCCTTTCCTCTGTTATCAGCTGAGGACACATCCTCAGACTAGAGTCACTGCTCGTCACCTGAGCAGAGCCCACCACCCCCCAGCCTGAGGCTAAAAGGTGACAAAGGAGCATTTTGGGTTGCAGACTGAGGTTGCATTTTTGCTGGGGCTGGGAGGCAGATGTACTTTAACACACCCTCCACAAAGTCAGGCTTCTTGTCGCAGCTTCTACCCACGGGATTCATCTCTGTTCTTTCCTTCCCATGCCGATGTCCATCACCATCCTACTGTGAGAAAACATCTACAAAACCTTGATAAACTGTGAAAAGAAGAGCTGGAGAGAGGTCAGGGAGGAAAGAGGCAAAGGGAGCAGGGAGGTGCCCGGAGAGGGAGAGAAATAATTGACAATGTACTCCATGGCCATAACATACATACAGGAAAGTATTGTACATAGATAGAGATATGGGGGAATATACAGAAAAAAGGAATATAAAATGCCCTCCTGCAGCAGCCTGCAGCATTTTGGGGGGGAAACCTCAAAACTTGAGAGTCTTGTAACACGTTTCCTTTGCAAATGCATGCAGATCTGGAACTCTTATTGAAGCGGCTGGCTGATTTGATTACATCCTGGGAAGTGCATGTGCAAATGGATTTTCTAACCTTTTGAGGGCACTGCCTTCTGCCGCCACATCTCCAGCAACTGATGCCAACCTCCCTTTAACACAATGTGCCCTAAAACCGAACCGTGTTACAGATGCCAATGCCCACAGCTTTCATCCAAGCTCATAGCCATAAATCCCTTCATTTTCAAATGCAAAATGTTGCAATTGGGAATGACTTGCCCTCAAGAAATGCGTTAGCAACAATTTAATCTCCTAAATGAAGCGGGTTGAAGCAGGGCCGCTCCTCTGTTGCGCACTTACCGGATAGAAGGATCTGATGATGAAAGCCTGGGGGGAAAAAACAGAGCATCAAATTGAAAAGCCCTGGGGAGATGAATGCGAGATAACCGAGAGAGGAACATTTATAGTCTGAGTCTTGGCTGAAATGATTTCCCCTTCCAGGCAGGCAGATTTCCTTCATAGTATCATGGGAAGCACCCAAAGGAGAGCTGGCACCTTGGAGTGGCGACAAATCCGATTATAAGAACCAGAGCAGACAGTTAAGACTACACAAGTAAGCAAATTTATTTTCAGACAGAACAAATATTGTGGCAAACAACGATATGCAAATTCAGTTGAGAACAGGGGTAAACATCAGACTTCATTTTCAAATAGATATAAAATATAGTCAGGTTTTATTTTGTCCAAAAAGCAGCTCACATCAGGGGAAGCAGGGGGTGGGAGAGGATGGGTCTGTTCACACCATCCAAGGTGTGTGTCACCTGCAAACCCTCAGGCTCCACCATCAGAGATGAGCAACGCCAGGAGGAGATGGAGGTGTCTTTGAGAGCTCTGGCTCCCCTTGACTCCAATATCCTGTCTCCAATTTTCTTCTTCCAATTTTCTGCTGCCAATTTTCTGCCTCCATTCTCAAAAAAAGCATATTCTTGCTGCAAAGCAAGGGGCAGGTTGATTCCCTCTCAGACCCTCAATGCACACCTACCACCTATGTAGAGATGGGGTGGTGGTCATGGGGACGCTAGCTGCTTTTTAGGCTCAGATGTCTTTGAAGGCACCTGAACCTCCTCTTCCTTGCTGGCTTCTCATGGATTGACCTCCTGTGACTGAGCCTGAAAAGCCAGCGAGGGAGCAGCTCACCTCAGATGCTGGAGGAGCTGCCATGGCATGAACAGGACGAAATCCCCTTCCAGTGTAAAGGTGCTAGTGTGCTGCTTTCTAGAAAAGCCATCCCAAATAAAAGCAGACGTAGAAAACATTAGATTGTCAATGATGCTTTGAAACAAATTCAAGTTTATCATTAATTTTCTGTGTGTTTGTTGTTTTTTTTTTCGTGAGTGTGTGTGTCGACTGGATACAAACAGACAAGAAAGACATTGTGAACTTCAAGCTCTGGATCGGCATGTTGTCAGTTAGCATCCGCAGAAGCACCATCAGATACAGAAGAGTTATAGCACCAGAGTTTGGAGGATCTAACTGATAACATGCGTCATTTGGAAAATCTGGAGACAGATTGGGAATGGACGGTGAAGGGGGTGACATGGTACAGTCCATTAGAAACAATACAAGGCAATTCATGAGTTTTCATACAGTACAATACAGTCACGGATCAATTAACCCTTTCAGTACAGTACATGACAAGTAACACTTTGCACCCTGTTAACACTAGGAAAGGAGGCTGTGGGCCAGAGGAAGGTTGCTGGGAGTTTAACTCTTCTGCCTTCTAATTTCAGGGTTTTCTCATTGCTTTGCTGCTTTTTAGCCTCATGTCTGTCCCACCCCACATCAGACAGCCCATTCCCAGCCTGGCTCCCTGGTGGGACATGCTGGTGGACCGGAATGCTGCTGGTCCATCCACCTGAAAGTCTTCACCCAAATCCTCCTGGTTTGGCCAGGGAAGTGGAGACCCACTGCCCCTCTGCCCCACACCAGCTACCAAAACTATGAGAAAACATTGCTTTCCCCCCATCCCTACCCGCCAGCCAATTCAGGTGCGAAAGCATACAGAAGGTGTGCAGAGGTTGAGTTCAGACAGCCCCAAGCCAAACCCACTTCTTCCCTCAGGTGTAGTGAGAACAGGGTCCACTGGAAAAGTGCTAAATTACAGTACATTGGCATTTCCATATGTCAACTATTGAACAGCAAAACAGATTGTTTGAAAACAGAATCAGTATCGTACAGTAAGTTCACAATTCTTCACTGTTTCTACACTTGTAACACATGCATTTTATTTCCATTAGTTCAATGCCAGTAGGACCAACATCCTCCAGAACAATGATCAAACATTAAACAAAACTTCCTAAGAAAAATATTAAGCATCACAGAAAGTTTCAGAAAAAAACCTCTTTATCAGCATCACAAGGTACTCAGATTTACATTTAGGAGTTTTCATGCCATGATTTTAAAACACTTTTTGGTTAATATCCTGGGGAGAATTTGGGGGGGGGAAGGAGGGAAGGGGAAATGAACCCCAAAACCAAACCAACACCCTCTCCCCCCCAAAAAAAAGGAATAGTTGGGGAAATAATATATCTGTCTCTGTGTGTACACACACACATATACATGGAGATTGGTGCATGGGTGTGTGTGTGTTTTGAGACTGCTTCCTGCAATGCACAATTTGCTTTGATAAACTTGACTCATTTCAAGGGCATTTGCATGGGTCCAAAAGCCTGTTGAGGAAAGGAAATCTAAACTATCAAAGCAACTTAAAAAGTCTCTCTTGGAGGAAAAGGAAAGGTCGGTAAAATATTGCCTGCGTGCTGTTACCATATACTTCCCAGGAACTATCTGAAACCACAAGGAAGTAGAAATCCTTAAAGAGCTCTTTTTCCACCTAAGAGGTCCCTCCAAAGTGAGAGGTGCTGTTCTGAGCTTTGCATTCCAGCTTCATGTGTGCTGTGCAGGAGAAAACACTTACTTTTACCCTCCTGAAGGATGAGATGCCAACTCCAAAGGGCAAAAAAACAACGGAGGGGAAAAATAAAAAAAGAGACCTGTTCCACATCCCCTTGCAAATGCTTCATTTCCAAGTACTTGAGGAGACCGGTGAGCTGACTAGGGGGTGAATTTTCCAAAGGGTTCACCTATATCCTCATGACAGTGAGCAGGATGTAGGCTTTGAGTCACTGAGGTGCTTTGAGAAGAGGCTGTCCCCTCGGCCACTATCGTTTTGGGGGGCTAGGCACTATTTCTTTAAACCTAGACTCGCAGGGTTAATTTGGAGGGGGAGTGGAGAGAGGAAATAAATCAGTCTGGTTTCTATTCACATTTCCATATTTCCATTTTTAAATCTAACAACAGAGGATATAAGAGCATAATGTTCTGGGCTGCTCAAGGTTTGTGTGTTTTAACCACCTTCAATCCCCACTGAGCACCCAACATCATGAAGGTCTATTGGAGAAGGAAACTTGAGCTGAACCCAACAAAAAGCAGACACTAAAGCTGGAGTTGATCAGTAAAAACACATCTGCTTCAACAAGCAAACCCAATGCAATTACTATATTTTGATGTTGTTGCTGAAGGT